AAAAACAATAAAAAATTAAATTATATAATTTTTTGAGTAATTTCTTATTATTATTATTTATACCAAACACGTGGTTAATTTTAATAATGTTTCGAACGGTAAAATTTGGATTTGGGCCATTGTGTTTGCACGTGGGGGCATGCGTTAGCAGCCGATGGATGTATTTTATAATTTATTTTATATTTACGATGAGTTAACTAGCCGTTAGAGCAAGTTCATGATCAGGGCACTCATAAATTTTCAACAATGGTATATTTTCACAGTGACCTTTTGAATGTTAAAAGACAAAGATACCCTTAAATATATTATATAATTACAAAATATTATTTTTTAAGTACATTTTCTTGCCATATGTCTCAACTCCGCATCTAGATGGTACGCCACCCTACGAAAATTCAAATATTAAAACTTTCAACAAAAGATAATGGAATAAAGTATAATCTCAAAAAACTAAGTGAATCGAATTGTAACTATTATATGTAAGAAATAGATTCATTCTACATCGATGTTAATAAGAAAACAAATAATTTAATAAATTAAAGGAAAATAACACAAAAAAATAATTACAAACAAAAATAAATTAATGAAAATAATAAAAAAAAATATAAAAATTAAATAACAATTAACAGGAAATAATTAAGAATTTTTTAAAAAGAAAAATAAAAAAATTAAATTAAATTAAATACAAATTAATGACCAATAAAAAAAATTAAATAAAATTATAAAAATATAAAAATTAAAACAAGAATATTATAAAGTATTTTAAATTGGAAAAAAATTAAATTTTTAATAAGAAGAAAAAAATTAAGAATTTTTTAAATTATTAATAAAAAAATTATAAAAAAATTAAACAAAAAGAAATTATAAAAATTAAATGAAGAATATAAATACTATTTAATTAAAATTGAAAATAATAAAAAAATTGTTTAAAAAAGAATATTTAATTAAAAATAATTTTAAATAGAAACGAAAAACGAAAAAAAAAGAATTTGGTAATTTTCAATTTAATTTTTTATTTAATTAAAAAAGAATTAAAAATCTTAATTTAATAATAATAATAATAATAATAATAATAATAATAATAATAATAATTATAATTATTATATTATTATTATTATTATTATTGGGTTGAATTTTAAGTCCCCCGAGCGGGAATTTAATTAATAAAATCTTTTTAACTTCTTGATTCAGTTTTATTACCATCTCTCGAAATAAAATGATGCCTTTGGTTGCTCACCTCCTTCAGTAAGGGCACATTATCATGTAAAAACTAAAATAAATTTGTTTGATGCAATATTAAAATTCGAAGAAAGAGTATGAACGAGTTAGAGAGAATCATTCGCAGCTTCCTCTAAGTGAATTTTTTTGTCGCATAAATAGTAATCTGTAAGAATCCATCGTCTTCAACATTGACACAATAAAATATTCTAATTTTAATTTAATTTATTTTTCATACTCACTTTTCAATCATACATTCACACAATAATATATTCTATACATAATTTCAAATTTTTTTCTACTTTTTAATTATACATTCTCCAAAAAATACTATTCAAAACAATATTTTTTTCTCAATTAATGAGAATCAACATGCTCTTAATTAATCTGATGGTCTATCAAACCATTGAACTTAGCTCTCTCTAGAAATAATTTTTAAATGAATTTAGATCATTAAACTAATTTAAATTAATAGCAAAGATGATTTGTCAAATGCATTGGCGAGACGGAGATTCCCCAAATTAGTTGACTCTTTGGTCCATATTTTCTAAAATTTATTTTTAACTATATATTTCATGAAATTCACAAATTTTATCAACTTTTTAATCACTCATTTCGCCAACTTATATCACAATTTACTAAAAATATAAATTTATTTAAGGCCGAACATTGGCTTAATAAACTCATCATCACGTCCCAAACAACCAAATATGGGGTTAATTTCGTTAGCGGTATGTACTTTGACATTATACATAACGCCGTGTCAATTGAGTTGCTACACTTTAATTTTGTCATATATAATTTAACATCGAGCACGAATGTGACTGTAATATACTGGTTGTATTGCTTTCTTCATGTTATTATTATGGTTACTCGGGATGGCTATTATTGTTTTAAATTAGACAATCACTTCAATTGACACAAATTATGCCCTTGTTTGAGCTCCATTTTTTTTTTTTTTTTAAAATGAATTCTTGAATAATATTTTGATTCATTTCAATCACACATTTTTCAAAAAAATAATTTTATACGTAAATATAAATTTATTTTTTTAACCACACATTTCTTATCAATACAATATTCAAAAATACATTTTTTTTTTTTACAAAAATAGGATTCAAACAAGCCCTAAAGTACATTAATGCAACGTGCAGAAATTAAATTTCGATCGAAAATCAGGTCAAAGTACATTGATAGTGACTAACATTAACCCACCAAACACGATCTAATAAGACACGATGGATGATGACAGTAAGCAAGAGCTGGATTAGGGTACAAAGTGTTGGTACTCTAACGTGCCCCCGCAGGCCCGCATTCTCCGGTTACACGACGCCGTCTCTTTTTATAATGCCCACTTTCATAGTAGCCACCGTCACGCGTGAAGAAAAATCTCCGCCACTCCGCCGGATAAGATTTTTCAACTTTTATTTTGCAATTTTTGTTTAATATATTAATTACTCTGCATTAATTTAATTATTATTCGTGGAATAATGAAGAAGAATTCATTATTCCACGAATAATAATTATGATCATCAGTATAAATTTATAGTTTTAGTCAAACACGGACTAAGGACGTGTTCGTTCTAAATTAAAATCCAATTAAAGTTAAAAATATAGTCGTTATTGAGTTCCACTCATCTAATAAAAGTCAACAATAACTGCTAATTTTTCAATTTTAATCCGATTTTAATATCTACCGAATACGTCTTGAATAGCCATCAAAATTTATTCTCAAATAATTATTTATAAAACATTTTCAGATGAAAAATTAATGCTATGGCCGGAGCTCATAATTAATTTATTTTTAGACAAAATCTTCTTAAATTACTCAATCAGATGAAGCCCCATTCGGTGGCCATTTTTTGGAAAAAATATTGATTTGAATAGTGAATTTTTGAAAAATGTATGATTAAAAAATAAAAAATTTTTGGGTTTACATGTAAAATATTTTATTTTATGAATGTGTGGTTAAAAATAAGTAGATAAAAAAATAATTTTAAAAGAATGAAAGACAAATAGGGACTACGAAACATCAGACGTCACAGTGTCCGTCTATGGTCTACTCATTTTATTTCTCTCTTATAATCTCAACATTTGATATATCGTGATTTGAGTAGTTCAAATTTAAAGAATAATGCTATATAATATACATGGATAGTCTTTGCTTTGTATCTATATCATTAGTGGAGTCTAGAATATTGTGATTTATGTGAATATTCTATTATTGTCGCATACGATAATTGAAGAGTCAATGTTCGATACAACTATTATCCAAAATTTTTTTTCTTACTTATCCCCTGTTTGTTGTAGATAAAATCAGATTTTTAGTAGATATTGATAAAAATTGATGAAATGTATAGTTAAAATTAATTGTTGATTTGAGATTAAAGCCCCTGTTTGGCCCCCATTATATTATATTACATTCCATTACATTAATTTTTTTCTCTCTTCATCTCAACCATACATTCATCAAATAAAATAATAATACACACAAATCAAAAACTTTTCAACCACACATCTCCCATCAATCACTATTCTAAAAATTATTTACCCCCCAAAAATTTAATTAATTTAGGCCCTGTTTGGCCCCCATTTTTTGGGGTTGAAAATTTGTGGAATAGTGATTGATGGGAAAATGTGTGATGGGAAAATTTTAGATTTGTGTGTAATATTATTTTATTTGAGAATGTGTGGTTGAGATGAAAAGAGAAAAAAAATTAATGTAATGGAATGAGAAAAAATGGGCCTCATACGGGGGCTTAATGGGGGGCAAACAGGGGCAAAATCAGATTTTAGTTTGTACCAAACAAGAGCTTATTTTCAATCGCTCATTCACAAAAACTAAAATATTATACACGTAAATTCAAAACTTTTCCTTATTTTTTAAGGAATATGTTAGATGTACACACAATACTTTACCAAATGAATTACACTCCCTCACATGGAGGGGGGCCCATGAATATTTTATTGTGTATGGGCTCCCCTCCATGTGGGAGGAGAGGGTGTAATATATTTGATAAAGTATTGTGTATATTTTAGACTAATTCATTTTTTAAACCTACATTGAAAATTTTCTTCCTGTCAAATGATGACTGTAACAGGGCTAAAGTTAGAAGTCATTTTAACTTGAGAACAAAATGATTCTCGAAATCCAAAAAAGTAATAAAAAAATAAGGTAATGGAAACAAATTTTTCTATAAATACCACACTTATCCAGCTCCATTTCTTCCCAAGAAAAATCATCATTTTTCCAAACAGTTTTGAGTAAATCCCTCTCTCACTCTTCTCTGGCAGATTTAGTGGACAGAGAGGTTACTGATTATTGTGAGTTTTAATTGCTCTCTCTCTCTCCATTTCTTGCTTTCTCAGCTTACATTTAGCTTCTTATAATTTTCGGTGATTTCTCGGTAAGTTTTCAGATAGCCGTATGTCTTTCTTACTTTTTCTTTAGATTTCTTGAATAAATTATTTCTTATTGAAGTTGAAGATTCTACACTTTTTTCGAAGTTTTCCACAGACACACATACAGACGTACATTTATCTGCCAATGTGAATGATTCACGTGGATTGTGGGCCAGTTGTTGGAACCCAAAATTCATTTTTTGACTTGTGGACTTTCTTCTTGATTTACAGATGGTTTTATTAATGAATGTAGATAGGATTTACTTCATCTATTATGTTGATTTTTATAGTCTTGTTCTGCAGCGTTGGAGTATTAATGTTGATTAGTTTTGCAAAATTTTATCTTCTTACAGAGTGAGGAGGCTAGGTTGAGTCGAAAAATGGCGAAAAGTCCATTCTTAATTGGGATTCTAGTATTGTGTTGCTGGACAGCTATAGCAAATGCAGAAGATATGATCTATAAAGATCCTAAAATGCCAATAAATCACAGAATCAAGGACCTGATGAACAGGATGACCTTAGAAGAAAAGATAGGCCAAATGACACAAATTGATCGCTCTGTGGCATCAGCGATGGTCATGAAAAAGTACTATATAGGTATGCACAAATACAAATCAGCGTTGCCCTCTGAATCAATAATTTCTATTGTTCATTATAGTTTATGCAATTTGGGATTTATTTGTGTGTATTTTTGGGTTCTTGGATCAGGGAGTGTATTGAGTGGGGGAGGTAGTGTTCCGGCTCCACAGGCATCGGCTGAGACCTGGGTGGACATGGTGAATGATTTCCAAAAGGGTTCATTATCGACCCGTCTTGGGATACCGATGATATATGGGATTGATGCAGTTCATGGCCACAACAATGTCTATAATGCTACAATCTTCCCCCACAATATTGGTCTTGGAGCAACAAGGCAAGTAGATATGCAGATATATTGATCTTTTTCCCAATTTGATTAGCTTTTGCAACAATCTGTTGAATCATTTTTCTTGAGAATGATCAATCATTTTCTTTCTTCTGTGAATATATGGTTTTACTTGGAACAGGGATCCTATACTGGTCAAGAAGATTGGAGCTGCAACTGCTCTTGAAGTCAGAGCCACAGGCATTTCTTATGCTTTTGCACCTTGCATTGCGGTAATTAGTCTTATATGAATATTAACCACGGTTTTCTTAAAAATATCTCATTTTCCTTAATGATTGTTCCATTTGATAGGTCTGTAGAGATCCAAGATGGGGCCGTTGTTATGAAAGCTATAGTGAAGATCCAGCTATAGTTCGGGCAATGACTGAATTGGTACCCGGATTACAAGGAGATTTGCCAGCTAATTCTCGGAAAGGTGTTCCATACGTTGGTGGAAAGTAAGTTTTCGGTTGAATAAATTGGTCTTTCTAGTGATTTTTTGACAGTGTTTTCCAAATTTAATAATTCAGTTCCGTAATGTTAAAAGTATAGTTCCACAAGCAGTGATCTTTTCATAAATTAGTGCTTGTCCATTCTGTAAATGATTTTTATCATGAAAGAGACAGATTTTAGAAAAATTCCTTCTAGAGTAAGTTGGCCACTAGATTGATGGGAGAGCAACTTTTGTAGGCAATGGATCAAAGAATGAACGACCCCTAGGTCGACTCTTCCTAGATTTTCTGTTACATAGGAAGGTTTGCAATTGGACTAGGACTAATGCTATGGACTATAGCTCCGATGATTACTTTAAAGGAAAAAAAATGCTAAGTACAAATGACAGTACAGAAGACCAGAACAATTCACAGGCAGGGGCGGAGCCAGAAAATATATTAGGCTGGGCTGAATTTTTTTTTTTTCAATGAACTTGTACACTAAAAGATGTTCTAAACCACACGATAAAACAAAAACTGGACCCAAAATGGGGCAAAATCATGCCCAGCTAACTCATTATGACAAAACCGCTCAAAACCCACTGAATCGGCCGGTTCAACCGTAAACCGATGAACTAGTCGCAGTTTGGTGGTTTTCCTGATTTTTTTTTTCTTTTTTTAGTTTAAAAAATTTTAACTTCATGAATGGACCTTATAGATTATAATTCAAAGGCCCATAGAAAACTATTGGATGTCATGCTCATATTATAGATGCATTTATCTCAAATGGTTTCATAAACTTCTAATGTGAGATAATGTCTTTTATAGATGCTCTTCTCTCCAATGGTTTCATAAAATGTTCATCAAAAATCATTTTCCAAATGTATGTCTAATTGACTAATTTGATTTTGAATCCAAACTAATTAAATTGTAATATTCACCTTCATCATTTCATTTATTTAATTTTCAAATTTAACTTAAATCGCACTTGATTTTTAATATATTAATGTTATATATCATTTTGTATAAGTTTAAAACATTGGTCATAATATATTTTTGAACACTCGTAACAATATTCTAACAAATATATTTTTAAACTAATAAAATTAAATATATAACATATTACTTATTTTGCTAATAACATCATTTCAGAAGCAACTTCACGATGAAAACTAAAAAGAATAAAAGCAACTTCACGATGAAAACTAAAAAGAATAAAATTAGCCTAGCCCAGAAATTAATTCCCAGCTCATAAGCAAATTCATGGTGAAAAAAAAAAATAAATAAATAAAATTTGTCGAGCCCAAATATCAATTTTAGCCCAATTAATTTTATTTACAACCCAAGTGTAAAACTGAAATGATACACAATTAACCAAATATTTAAACTAAATTAACCAAATATTTTTTTTAAAAAAAGTTGCTTTTGGGCTGGGGTAGGGCTGGGCTATAGCCCACCCCTCCCTCCGCCCCTGTTAAATCACAGGTCAAACATTGTTGTCAAGCTTCAAATTTTGTTGTTAATGTGTATACTTTACTAGTATTTTTAAACCAATGGGAGATGCATTGGTAGAAAACACTTGAATAGGAAGAATAGGTAACCATTTCACCTATATATGTCCGCACCTAGTTCACGTTTGCTCTTCATACCTAAGAATGAGGACAAACAGTACATGACAAGCATGATAAGAGTTTTTTAACCTTTCTTTGTTCCATTTATTAATGGACTTTTGTTTTGATATTTTTGTTAGCTTATTTATTTTACTTGTATTTTACACAGAGAAAAGGTTGCGGCTTGTGCAAAGCACTTTGTGGGTGATGGTGGAACGACCGAAGGCATCAATGAGAACAATACAGTTATAAACAGGCATGGACTGCTTAGTATCCACATGCCAGGTTATTATAATACAATCATTAAGGGCGTGTCAACAGTCATGGTCTCCTACTCAAGCTGGAACGGAGTAAAGATGCATGCTAATCATGAACTTGTCACCGGATTTCTTAAGAATACACTACGTTTCAGAGTAAATCCAAATTCCCTATTAAAGTTCAATAGGAAGTCTTTGACGTATTGAAGAGAGCAACTAAGATTAGTTTTCGATACATATCACAGGGTTTTGTTATTTCTGACTGGGAAGGTCTTGACCGAATTACTTCTCCACCTCATGCAAACTACACATATTCGATTCTAGCAGGAGTTAATGCAGGCATTGACATGGTTGGTACATTAGTTATCTGCTTTTGTACGTAATATAACTTGAACGACATTGCGCAGGTCCACTAGACTGATGGATTTTCATTGGTGCTTAAATTGCAGCTCATGATTCCATACAATTACACAGAATTTATTGATGGTCTAACCTTCTTGGTGAAAAATAACTTCATACCAATGAGCCGAATTGACGATGCAGTGAAGAGGATTTTAAGGGTGAAATTCATCATGGGACTATTTGAAAACCCTTTGGCTGATTATAGCATGGCCAAGTACCTAGGAAGTCAGGTGAGTTAGAAATTTTCGTCAGCTTGAATCCCTGCATAACCTATGTGCAATGGAAAAGTTGAGTTGGTATGCTGGTGTAACTTTTAACAGGAGCATAGAGAACTAGCAAGGGAAGCAGTAAGAAAATCTCTTGTGCTGCTTAAAAATGGTAAATCCTCGGACAAGGAGTTAATACCACTTTCAAAGAAGGCACCAAAAATACTAGTTGCAGGAACCCACGCAGACAATATTGGTAATCAGTGTGGCGGGTGGACAATTCAATGGCAGGGACAAACCGGCAACATTACAGTTGGTAAATCCATTAACTCTAGTGTCAGAATAAATATTTTGGAACTCCTATACTTGAAAGAATTTCATAACTGCATCAATCTCAGCGTTCTAATGTCTTTGATATGATCAGGTACCACAATTCTTACAGCCATAAAGAATACTGTTGACCCTAAAACGGAAGTTGTGTTCAGTGAGAATCCAGATTCTGGCTATGTAAAGTCGAACAACTTCGCTTACGCCATTGTAGTGGTGGGGGAACCACCATATTCAGAAACAAATGGCGATAGCTTAAACTTGACGCTTCCTGACCCAGGACCGAGTATCATAACAAATGTTTGTGGTTCTGTGAAATGTGTTGTTGTTCTTATCACTGGCCGTCCAGTAGTGATTCAACCATATCTTGATCAAATTGATGCCCTTGTAGCTGCTTGGCTCCCGGGAACTGAAGGCCAAGGTGTTGCTGATGTTTTGTTTGGCGACTATGGCTTTACAGGCAAGCTTTCACGTACGTGGTTCAAGACTGTTGATCAGCTTCCAATGAACGTTGGAGATCGGCATTATGATCCATTGTTCCCATTTGGATATGGATTAACCACAGAACCCTCAAAGGCCTATTAAATCCATAGCTAATTCATTGTTTCACCTTTGTTGGGATGATTATGTCCCCACGCACGAGGATTTCGATTCGATTTGTAATTTGGTGAAGAAAGTAATGAAATATTGTTTCTATTATGTTTGTTTCTATCTTTACTATGTAGAATAAACATCGTACGGGTCTGGCCACTCTGATTAAAGAACCAAATTTTGAACTGGTCTGATTATTCTAATGGACCGATATGCAGATGAATCGATCAAGAACTGTCTAAACTGGTAAAATCGACTCTATTCACTTGAACCGGATATTAAATGTTTTGCTAATCATTAAAGTTCAGATGTGCTTTTTCACTAAATATCTACTAAACTGAACTTCAAATTGACACACTTCTTTGGTGCATAAGGCCTTGTTCATGGTGGATTATCGATCACTTGACTTGATCATTGGTTCTGTCTCTCAGTAACGCCTCCAGAGACACGAGAGAGCGCAGTAAGAATAGAGCTGAGTTGGATATAGAGGAATTGCACCAGCAACCGGTTCTTACAGGTGGTTCCTTGAGGCTGAATTCGGATGCTGTTGTGTGGAGTGATCGAGGCATTATTGGGACTGGAGTTGTTATCCGAGATGGTCGAGGCTTTTTTACTCATGCGTGTTTCCATTGCATCATTAGTTATCACTCCCAAAAATGCTGAAGCTTTGACACTTCGGAAAGGTCTTGCTTTTGAGCTAAGGAGAAGGGGTTAAAAATTGATAAGGACAAATGCGATGCCCATAGAGTTATTCTTGGGTCTGAGGTAGAGCTATAAGCTAACTCCGAACACTTAAAATCTCTGATATTGAAGTGCTTCTTAGAGAGGTAAGTGTGGGACATCCTATTTTACGGCTAGAGATAAGAATAGAATAACCACTCGCTTTCTGTTGAATGCAACAATTTTTCTCTTAAGCCCGTTGGTTGGGTCACTCAAATGTTAATGATATGCATGTCATAGAAGGTTTAGCTTACGCTTACTGGACAATGTTTAATTTTCAAATGAGAATGTTGAAACTCGATTCTACATTTGATATTAGAGTCAGGATCATCGATTTGAGCCACAAAGATCATCAAATTGTTGGAGTGATTTTTGGAATGCAACGGTGCCGCTATTAAGCACATTGGTTGTGTCATTCAAATGATGGTGGTGTGAATGTCATAAAAGATTTAGCCTATCTTCACTAGATATCAATTTATTTTATGGTCAGATGGTGGAAACTAGATCCTACAATTCTTTTACTACGGCTTCCCTAGTTGCTAAAAACTGGATTGATTGTATTCTGTATTTTACTTTACCAGGTGTAAGTGTAATAGCCAATAATGGCTGCCATCATGAAATAAAAAGAACCAATGTGAGACGTAATCGTCCTACAAAAAAGTTCAAAATATATTTATAGCCTGCCCCAAAGAGAACGCATTTGTTCTCTAAGCTTCTCCCACTCGTCACGCTGCTCATCAGAATCGGTAGATAGTTTGGTCATAAATCCCTCGTCGACGTCCAGCTTAGAGTAGCGTTCCAACAGGGACTTGCCTCGCTCAACCTCCTGGGAAACAGTACGCTTCTTAACAGCCAATCTAGCCTTACAGTCGTCCATTCTTGTTTGAAGTACTTTCATCTCTGCAGTTAGGCTCATCATCAAAAAATCTTCAACCATAACTTCAGAGGAGATTTCATGTAAATTGCTCTTGGTCTTCTCAATCTCTTGAAACAAAGACTCCTTTTCGGTTACAACATTGAGATACTGAGTCTTCTTGGCCTTTAACCCGACATTCTTGGCTAGCAAAGAGCTTATCTCTGAGTGGATAATTTTCAATGTCATCTTAAAGTCAAATGAAATTTTAAGCGAAGGAAGCTTAAGTGCTTGAGCCATTTTGGCATCTAGAAGATCAAGCTTTTCTCTTTGGTTGGAAGCACTGGCCTTGTTGATGTTCATATCCATGAAAGAAACATACTCAAGCACTGATTGCTTGAGAATGTTCATGTTTTCTTCTGAGAAAGCAGCAGATGAAATGAAGGACGACTGGCCGAAGAGGAACGAGAAGCTACGCTTGTCCTTACTTATTCACAGGAGGTAAACAAATCCTGAATTGAGTGCAAAATGGCATCAGCATCCTGTAAAGAAAAATGCAAGTATTTAGCATCTTCATTACAGTGAACGAAATAAAGATAAAAGATAAAATAAAGGCTACCTCATCATTAGCCTTGGAAAATTGGGGCACATCACTGGTGGATCCAGCAACTTGTGGAGATTTCCCTTTGTCCAAACGTGCAGACTCTTCCACAACGGACAACTCTAGGGAGGTTTCTGCCATAATCAAGTGATGATGAGTTAAAGGCCAATAACACATACAGAGGAAAAGACCACAAAACATGTATTACCTGTTGATTCAAGGCATGGGGGTCAGCTCCCTGGGAAGATGGAAGTTCTTCGGTTGGCTGCGCAACTAAAGACTGGGACTATAGCCCTCTCCTTAGGCAAAGCCCCTTCGTCAGATGACTTGGACGAAGTAGCTTTGGTGGAAGATGTGAAACAGAGGCCGGTAAAGCCAGAGCCTTCGAGGGAGAAGTTGAACTTTTCTGGAAAATTCAGGTAAAACATTAACATATGGAAGATTTTCTCATAAATAAACACTCAAATACCTTTCTCCTGACGATGAGAGGGGCATCATCATCATCATCATCATCATCACACAAAATTGGAGAAGTTGAGGCTGGCCTTTTGCAACTGGAAGTACCCTGGCTGTGTCAGCTTGAGCTGGTGGGGAACTAGATGGAGGAGCAGGATGTTTAACGCGAGCATATGGGGATTTCGAAGGCGAAGTGGGATTCCTGGCAGACACAGGAATGGTAAGGAGAGGAGAAGTGGAAGAAGTCTCTAGCCGTTCTAGCAAGTGGAAAGCACGGTTAGTATCAGTTGTGAATAACCTACGCTTCATAGACGGCCAAAGTTGTTCAAAAAGAGGATGAATGGCAGAAGTGGGGTTGAAAGGGGCTAATGAGAAACCGTTTGTCAAAGAATATTACGGGCATCAACGGCTTGTGCCTCTATTTTATTAATAGTATGGAAACAGTCCGTCAGGATTTTGGAAAAGCAAAGAGGAACATGCCACGTTTGGCCAAAGCCAAGCTGGCGAGCAAAAAACTAGGGAGCATATATCTCAACCTCGGCCTTGGCATTTGTTCCGGTTAAAATGTTGTGAAACAGTTCCCTCCCAACCAAATATTGGACCTAAATATGCAAAAAAGTGCTCACATCGTCCATGGTAGACAGAGGTTGCACATAATTTGAAATTGAATGAGAAGGAAAAGGAAAAAACGAAGAGACTGAATTCAAGCTATAAAAGAATGAGAAGACATACTTGTTAGACATATTAACAGGGCTCAATTGGTTGATGGCCAGCCCGTAACAGTTAGCAGATCGAGGAAGAGTGGATTGAACACCAAATTGTGGAAAGTATGCTCTCAACCACAATTGAACGAGTCAAAGAGGTCCGCTACAGTAGGAGATGCACCATTCCTTAACTAGTGTTGGAGGGAAGCCATACGTCTATAAAAGGCGGCTGAGAATAATGAACTAAGATTTAAAGGCCTACTACACACTAATTCATGCGCTATGGGCAAATAACTCATGGAAGGCTTAAGGCTGGGCACGCAAAAAATGTATTTACAAAGACAAACTTGGAGGAAAGCGACACGCTCAGCATGAATAGGTTAAGCACCAGATTTATTATAAAACTCCTGCATGCCCGAGTAAGAATCAGTAAGTCTTTTCTCAAATTTTGGGGCAGCTCCAGTAATCAAAATGGCGGGAGAAATAGTATCGCCCAAAGGTGGAAGGTTTACTAGGGCTCCAACGTCCTTCAGAGTAATAGACATTGGGCCAATCGGGAAAATAAAAGTATTATACTCAGAAGACCAAAAACTTAAAGTAATAGGGAAAAGCACGGCATCATAGATTGGGAGACGGTGGACGATTTCTAATAAATCCGAAATCCTAGCACGATAAAAAATTGTCTTAGTAGGGCCATGATTTACTATACGTGCATGCCACATACGAAAAGTAGTATCAGTTTTGGGCCAAGTGCGAATACCTTTCTCACGGATTGGCTTTAACGGTAGAGAGTTCAGAAAAAGAGGATCTTGAGTACAAGGGAATAGCTGACCCACTGCTACTTGCCCAACTGATTTAGCATCATTAAATGACGGGCATAGGTAGAATTCATGAAGGTCAGGGTTGGCTGGTGAAAGGGAAACTGAATTGATGTACGGTTTGGTGAGGAGGTTTTGGAAGTCTTCGAAACTAAGGGAGTTGTCGGAAGGGCTCTGTGAAGTCGCAATTTGCTACAAAGTACAGTTTTCGTGATGGTTTGTGAGAAGCGTAGTAGGGAAGCAAGAAGATGAACAATGATCTCTATAAGGAAAAATAAGCGTGCGATGCAAAGACGTGTAATAGTGCGATGAAGTGGCGTGTTCTTTGGTTTATAGGAGTTACGTGATGTTACACTTTTTATGATGTAGAGGGTCATCGCCAAATGAAAATAATGATTGAGATTATCCGCCCTTTTTGTGATTTCAAATATTGTCAGAAAATACAAAAGAAGAATATGACATAAGATTAATACTTGATATGCCATATTAGGGGGTACTTGTTGACATACAAAAATGAGGCCCAATTAAATGGTCCAAAGAATGAAGTCCAGTTAGGAAATTCGAAGGATGGACCCAAACCCAGGACAGAGTTATGTAATGGAGGCCATTATCGCCCAAGTTTATGAGACGCCCAAGATCTGGGCGAGCCTGTTATCGCTCAAGCCTGTGTAACGCTCAAAATTTGGGCGAATATAGTGTTTTGGTTACTGTTCGAATCAACGGTTATTAAAGCAATTAATGGGTAATCTTATCACATTCCACAATCCAAGAATCTCGGTTGCAAGAAGTTAAGAGATGGGGTAATGACAACTGTTAAAAAGGGTAGTTTCATGACAAGTCAT